TGTCCCCTCAAATTTCATTCACTTGGCATGAATTTAAGGGATTTGGCAATTGTGTTATAATTTTGCAGTTATGGAATGATCCCCTATGATATGATATGATATGATATGATATGATATGATATGATATGATATGGTTGATCAATCAGTTGTATGACAATTAAAGGTGGGATTGTTGTTGTAGTTAATGCTGTTGAATTGCCTCCAACTCATAGTGACCCTGTGTAGAGTTTCTGAGGAGTGGTTAGTGAGCTTGAACCAGTGACCTTGTAGTTCAAACCACCTTGCAGTCCAGCACATTAACCTGCAGAACCACACCAGGACTCTTAAGGGTGGGATACAACAGCCTCAATCTCATCCCAGTCCTGATTTCAGGTTGTGGGTATAACCACTTTTATCTTACAAGAGATAAAAGGACCAGAAAAGTAGTGATGCCTGAGATGGAGGCAGAGATAGTGACGTGGAGTGATGGAGCAGCTGGGGACATTAGATTCAGAGAGGGAGAGGAACTGTGTGTGGGAGACAGACTTGCAGGGTATACCCTTTGGTTGGTTGGTAATGCATGGAGGGGATTGTAACCATGGCAATTAAACCATATACGTTAGAATGAATGTAAAACTAATGTTCTACCATGTAAACTATCACATAATTCACACACACACAAAAAAAGATGTGAGGTTAAAAAAATAAAGAGAGAGAGATAAAAGGAGAGAGACATGAGCTGAGAGAAAGGGTCCTATTACCACTAAGAAAGAAGAGGAAAAAAAGGAGTGGTGTGAGTCCTTTGGACACAGGTCCCTGTGCTGGGAACCTTGTAGCTCCAGAGTGATCTCCAAAGCATGCCAGGCATACAGATGCTGAAAGGAGTCAAGGTCCTTTCCTCCTAAGCTATGAGCCAACCGAAAGAAAGTCTTCTTCTACAGTTGTTCCTGTGAATTTAGACTTCTAGCCTCCCACACTGTGGAAGAAGTTCTGGTGTGGTGCTGTAGGATAATCACTGGATTTCAAGCTCTGTTTGAACCACAAGGTTGGTGATTGAAACTCACCAGCCTCTCCTCAGAAACGCTATAGAGGGTCTAAATGAATCAGAACTGAGTCGATGGCACTTATCATCAACAACAGCACTGTGGGAGAGAAATCTGTTAAAGTCATCTACTGTTGTGTGTCTGTTTTAGAAATAAATATGGCACCAGCATTCTTTAAAATGCTTCATCCATCTAAAAACTATTGTTTTATGTGGATCAGCATTCCCATAAATGTTTTGCAAAGCTTCAATGATTTGGGAAGATGTCCACATAAAGTATCCCTTCTTTGTTAAAGCATTGGACTGCAAACTACAAGGTTGGTGGTTCAAACCCACCAGCTGCTCCTTGAAAACCCTGTACAGGATCACTGAGTCAGAATTGATTCAGCAGCACTTAACAACCAAAAAAATTGAGACTAAGACAAGTGTATTGCTGAAAGAACTTATCTGTAGCCATCACTGATTGCAGAGAAATGTTTAAATGTGTTTTGTTTGGAGTAAACTCATACATGTATGAACTGAAACCCTAGCAGCAATACTTACTGGTTTATCCACATATTCCTTTGCCTGATAGCTATAGAGTACATTTCATGATATTGTTATGTGTTTGTATATATTATGTGGAAGAGATCTTGACAAGGATTCAGCAGAGCTGTGTCCTTTCCTTACCAATATTTTTATCAAAATGTGTAAAAGAAATAAAAAGTACAAGATCCTCTTCCAGTATGAAGTATTTAACTTTGACAATTTCTATGTTTGAGACGTTTCATTAAAGTTAGTTCTGTAATATTTGGTTGTTTTATTGAGCTATGACTCAGGAGTATGCTCTGGTGGAAATGCTGCTTTCATCTGCTTTACCATGGATAGAGCTCCAAAATCTAACCACTTTAATGCAAGTTAGCTTTCCACAGATGCTCAGACACATAGCCTAACTGAATTCATGGAGGCAAGCCATATCTTGCAAAACATTTTGTGCTTGGAGATACATGCTGGTTCGAATCTGGATTCTTTTTTTCATTGCTTAGCCTTATGATTTTAGGAAATTACTAACATCTGTTAACCTTAAGTGGAGTCCTGGTATGGTGCTGTGGGTTAATGCACCAGACTGCAAAGCCATTTGAACTGCAAGATTGTTGGTTCAATCTCGCCAGCTGCTTCTCAGAAACCCTATATAGGATCGCTATAGCTCGGAACTGATTCAACAGCACTTAACAACAAAAATTAACCTTAAATTTAAGGAGCCCTGGTTGTATAGTGGATTACACATTGGTCTGCTAATTGCAAGGTTAGTACTTCTAATCCATCAGATGTTCAATGGGATAAAAATGAGCTTTTCTGCTCCCATAAGATTTACAGCTTCAGAAACCCTATACAGGGTTGCTAGGAGTTGGAACCAACTCAACAGCACACAACTACCACTGACATTAACCTTAAACTTCTTCTCTTAAAAATTGGATTTAAAACAAACAAACAAACAAACAAACAAGCAAACAAACTATGTAGCTGTACTGAATTGTCAATTTGTGGACATACTATATGAGACAAAAGCCACGAACTTCACAGCAGTTGGTAGGATCAGAATCCTCATAAGCTATTATACTAAATATGGTTGCTTAACACTTTTGGAGTGCAATCAGCCCAAAAATACAAAAATAGAATTACCAGTGGGTAACGTGAGCAATTAAAGACAAAGTACATTAGAAGTAGATGCTGTTGTTGTTGTTAAGGACCAATAAGTGAGATCCAACTCATATAGACCCTGTATAGGGTCAGTTAGCAGTCCAGTGTTTAGCTTACAGCACTGTACTAGGATACCATTGTTATTGTTGTTGTTATGTGCCAGGATACCATAGGACCTTAATAATGCTTGATCCAATTCTTTTATTTAATACATTCAGGTCATGAGGATAAGAAAATAATTTTTGTAAGGTCAGTAGTCAGAAAGTTGACATGAATAGAGATAGCATCCATTTTGAACTAAATATGCCACTATTGGTTCTTAGTGAGTATACTATAGCCTCAAAGTAAAGTTCTTGTGATTTAATCCCTTGTGTATTCTGGCCTTTCAGATAACTAGACACACTCCCCACCTTTTTACTGGGAAGAGAAAATTTATTATTATACACATAAACCATACTTGAAAAGAGTTCTGGCTTAAGAACTAACATGCTCTGGATCACTAGCTAACAGTTTTAGAAACATATCATATGATATTACTTTACTTCATTTTGTAAGAAATAGTCATAAAAAAGTGAAACACTTTAGTGAAGAAAAATCAAGTCCCAAAAAGCAAATAAATGCAATAGGGCATATGAGCTGGGGGAAAAAGAAAACTATAATTTAGAGAACAATTATTCATTAGAGGGAAAAAAAAGGAGTTTGAAATTTTCCAAATGGAAGCTAAATTTCTCATCATTCTGTAACCTCCTATAGAAACTGCTTTGTTGCTTGGTTAGTGTTTGATTTATATATTACATTATTGCAACTATTTTTATGAGTTTGAGAAAGGGAGGGATACTATTAGAAGGGAGATCCTATGAATTATGATAAGATATGAGAAAAATAATTAGGAATATATCAAATGAATATTTTACTCCTTCCTTCTAAGTTCATCACTATAAAAGCTACAGAAAGTCCCCAAATAATTTCCTGGCTGGAAAAAAAAATCAGTTTTTTTTTTCTTTAATTTAAAGTATTATCTGTTGATTGGCTTAGTACATAATCTTTAGATCACTCATGGTATGATAAATCTCTTTATTTGAAGATTTCTAGGCTATTATAATAAAATTCTATCTATGGGTAAAGGGTTAGAACAAAATACTTTAGAGTCTACTTTCAGGGTTAGGTCTGTGTCAGCCTAAATTGAACAACAAAGTTATACAAGGTGCTTCGAGATTACTCAAAGTCATTTTTCAGTCAAAATTAAGCCCCATCCTCATCATACAACATCCTTTCATTATTAAAAATAAAGTGAATAGTGAGTCTATATCTGTCCCACACATTCTTATCATCTTCTGAATGCTACTTCTACTATTACAAAAGTCTTTTGGTAAACTTAATATTTGAAGAATTTTCTCAGTAAAAGAAAAAAAAAAAAAAAGAAGTTTAGATGATGTTCTCTAGATTTAATTGCTGCTCTAAACTCAAATCTGTGAGCACAGGAATGTTGCTCAACCTGACTGACATTCAACACCTTAGCTGTGACATAACTAAGAGAGAATTCTTAGCTTTTCAGATTTCACTTTAACCAGCTATCAAGTCATATTGCTTCTTGCATCAAAGGAGTAAGTGCAAAATGATTTTTCATTTAAAAATGGCCTATTATATCTACATTTGAAATTAGCTAATTCCCTCAGGGAAGACCCAGGAAGTATTGTACCTATTTAATATCCTGAAACTCTGAAGTGAGGGAATTTCCAGAGTTTTTATTACTGGTAGGTAATTATGCCCTCTGAACAGATTCATAATATCTGTATTGAAGGTAGCCCTTCTAACCAGACTTTATTTTAATTGTGTTTAATTAGAAATGTATAAAATAAATACTCAAGTTTTTGTCACATTATGAGAAAAATAAACATACACTCAAATCCCTCAAACACAAAAGACAACAGAAACAAAAACAACAAAATATATTAGAAGAATGGAAGCAATTAAAAGTTATTTTTACTTGAATGAAGTTCACAAGTATAGCTAGGAGCAGCTTGGGTAAATAATCCATTTTCAAGACTCAAAATAACTTGACATATTATTTCAAAATATAGAAAGAATAATTTTGGGAAATTTTTCCAAATGTTTCATAACCCTGATTTTATTATTTCACAAATTGATTTCATTGAAAAGGAGATTTCCATTTCTCAATACCTGCCTATGACTTATAATGGAGTTTATATAAATAATCAATAAAAGTCCTAATTTCATAATAAAGTATGTGGACAATAGAAATTTGGTGGAATTTTGACTGTTAGTATTTTTTTCTTAGATATTCTACATCATACGTTACAAAGATCACCAATATATACTGAATATAGATGTAAGTTTCTACTGGTTTTCTATTGTTCATTGAATGAATACATATTGCATATCATGATAAAATAGAAAACTTGCAATTCTTAAGATCACTGATTCTAATATTTAGCAAGCAGCCTACATCTAATGAAACCCTGATTGAAAATGGGGAGATTAAATGTAACTCATGAAACAGTAGAAATAATAATTTCACAAAGTTTCATTTTAAATGCTAAGAATTCACTTTATTGCATCAGTAATGATAAGCATGAGCCTAAAAGTCATGTCATTTATATGTTAGGAACATTATTTAAACATATTAACTATGATTTCATTAGTTAGCAGATAATACCATTTTACAGTATGTTAATGTCCTGGCACTTATGAAGGTGCTACAGGAGAAGACCTCATCATATTCCTATGGAGTATCTTCTATGGATTTCACCCTGGTTATTTACCCCCACCTTTGTGGATCTTCAAAGTATTCACTCTCCTCAGATTAGGTAAATGTGCTATTCTGAAATCACAGCAATTTTGCTGCCACACCTTTACATCATTGGCACAATGCTGTCCTCTAGTGTTGTAGTAGGTAGAGAAACTACCTCATTACCATGTTTAACTTCCTCCTACTAAACAACTTAGAGCTTTTTCTAAAGCACCATGGGAACAATTTCACTTGAAAAAACTCTCTCTCACACACACTTAAATATATACTGGATTCTAACGTGTTCATTTTTGATGATTTCTAAACTAAGGGTTTTGGGTCCTCCCTTATAAAGCAGTTGACCCTTTCATGTCTCCTTTAAGAACACAAACTTTAATAAACCCTTTATAAGGTACTAACACTAACTATAGATTCTGAACCTCCAAAACTTCCAGTCAGAAACAGAAACACTGGTTAGGCTTTAGGCCATTTGGTCCTATCCAGCATTTAACATTTGTCTAAGCATGTTCTCTTGAGGTAGAAGAGATTATCAAGGTCCTCTTGGATATGGCTGGGGGTAGGATAAAAAGACTCTAAGTAGTAAATACTCATTCTGATTTTCTCCGACAGTGGTTGTGTAGATTAAAAATATAAAATAAAATTGTTTCAATATAGTTAATCTCTTTGAGTTTCAGGGAGAGGATGAGAGATAGGGTAGCAAGTCAAGAAACTTGAGGGACCTTAATAAACCATATTTGGAAAAAACACAGATGGCTCAATGGCATTTTTCCTGGATTAGGAGTTCCCAGAGGTGGGAAGAAAAATAAATTAATTAATAAATAGAGAGATAGATAGATAAATGTTCATCCCCTCTGCCTAGAAAGACAGCTGAGCAATTAAGCTTGAACGTCTGACCACTAGTGATTTATTCAAGTTTAAAGAATTGGTTTCTTTAAATACACAGTGCAGGTGGTGGATCCCCAGGTGTCCAGCAATCTTGCCTATGAAATTAAACGCCCTGCTCTTGTCAGGTTAGAGCTTAGGCACCACAGTCCCATACACTTATGGAATACTCATTATGTGTGCTTTGACATAAAGATGTTGGGGGTGGGGGATGCATGAACTAATGAGGTTTTGGTTTAACTATAACTATATAGAGTCATGACTTGTAGGCCAAAAGTCTCAATCCTGTTAAACCAATGTTCATTGATTGCAAGATACCCCAACTGGAGTATTTTGCCTAGAGGAGAGCTGAAAGCCATGTACTGGGGGACTCTGGGTATTCTGGAAATCCAAAGCAGTGTCATTAGAAGATGAGACTCTATCGCTGAGAACCATGGCTAGGAGCATTTCTAACACTGGAAGCTCAACATGCAATGTGTATTGCCTCAACCTCTAGACCTTTTCAGGGAAAACCATGGAAAAGATAATGGGAGGATACAGGAGGAGAACCATCCCATCTCCCTCAAACTTTGCTATTAGAGGAGAAGGGCAGACAATCCAGTGGGCTGGTTTATCCAAGCTCTGCTAACTTTTGGTAGGTTTGGGGGTGGTGGTGAGGAAATAACACCAATAAGCATTTTGTCTTGCCCCCAGCTCAGAAACAATTGAAAACCTTTCGACAGTTGAGTGTTTTCCCTATTACTAGTCTTTCTCACCTTCCCTACCCTCCCCCAGCATCGCGTACTTACAATTCGTCGCTGTTAATCCTAAATGCCACAAACCCGATAATAGCAAAGTCAAAACGCTGGTCAGCCATGGTACAGAATCCATTTCCCCGGAGTAAGCGGTCCCTTCCAATCGAATCTCAAATTCGCAGGCTCCAGTCAAGGCTTCTCTCCCTCTTTCTTTACTGCACCACCTGACCCCCTCCTATCCACCCCTTTGGAGAGGCACTCGCTGCCTCACTCCATCCAGCTCCTAGACGCTCCGCTGAAACCGTGGCGGGGGCTTCTCCAGAGCTGCCGCTGAGGCTCTGGTCCCTGCAACTGCTGCTAGCTGCACTCTCCTTCCTCGCCTGCCTTTTCTTCCTCTGCCCTCCTCCTTAAAGGTGCAAATTCAAGCCCAACTGCACAAGCGCCGAGTTCTATGGGCAGCCTCCTTCACCTATTCCGGCGCCAGAGCTGGAATCAGCACTCGGGAAGCGGACAGCTCCTTATAGTCGATCAGAGTCGCGCGGCAACGCCCCCGGCCAGGCCCGCCCAGCGCTCGCCTATAAGAGAGGCCTGGGCGGGTCCTTGCCCTGCTTAGGCGCTTTCCCCACCCTCTGTCGCCGTTACTGCGGTTTGCTTAGGGTACCTGGGAGAAGGGAAAGGAAACTCTTTTCCTTCAGTCTTCCTTCCCTTCCCCCTTCTCCTCAGAAGAGGAGTAAAGGTATTGATATTTAAACTAGGTCTTAGAAATCGCGGCTCAATGGATACTAAAAGGAGTTGGAAGATTGAACGCATTAGGAAGAGGGAATTTTCCACGGAAAGCTTTATAAAGAGC